GCAGTTCAGCCTGGCCTTAAACTCCCAGTGATCCTTCTGCCTCACCCTCCCAGATGCTAGGATTACAGAAATGCATCAATATTCCTGGCTAGTCCCTGAACATTTTTGTCACCCGAAAGGAGACCTTGTAGCCATTAGCATTCTCCAGTCCCCCTCCCGTAGCAACCACTAATCTTTTTTCTCTGCAAAATTACCTATTTTGAAACATAAATGGAATCACACAATATATGATCTTTTGTTATTTGTACTGGGAATTGAACTCAGGGCCTCACACTTGCCAGGCAGGCAGAGTGCTACTGAACAATATTCCCACCCCAATATGTGACCTTTTGTGACTGGCTTCTTTCTCTGATGAGCATATTTTTGAAGTTCATCCATACTGTAACATGTATCAGTACTTCACTGCACTGTTGTGTGTGTGTGTGTGATATACTGGAGCTGTGGAGATGGGTTTGGGCATGCTAGGCATGTGCTCTACCACTGAGCCACACTCCCAGTCCCACTTTGTTCCTTGTCATGGCTGAATAGTATTCCATTATATGAATGGGTCACATTTTTTAATCCAGTCATTCATTGGTGGACCTCTTTGGAATTGTGAACAAGTACAGTATTGGTGTAAAAGTACAGTAAAACCTTAGATTTGGAGTAACTTGTTCTGCAAGTGTTCCACAAGACAGCCAAGCATTTCTAATAAATTTTGTTTTTTGGTTTTTTGAGACAGGGTCTCTCTATGTAGTGCAGGCTAGCCTTGAATTCACTGTGTAGCCCAGAGTGGCCTCAAACTCAATGATCCTCCTGCCTCAGCCTCCTGAGTACTGGAATTACAGGAGTGAAATGGCCTGGCTTCTAAAACATTTTAACTTGATAAATGAGCAGTCTTGCAATAGCATAGTACATGCTGGGAATTTAGCTCAGTAGTTTCGCCGCCTGCCTTGCAAGTGCAAGGTCCTGAGTTTGATCCCTAGTACCAAAAAATAAAAAATAAAAGAAAATAAGTGTAGTATGTGATACTGAATGTCACATGTTCACAACTAAACTGATGAGTCCCTGCCCTTGTCTTTTTGTCTCTGTCTCCCTCTCTCCCCCCACTGCAGGATTGTGGATGATGATCGCCCATCAGCAAGAGGTTATGGAAGAGATCTCATCTGCAGGAGACAAGAAAAAGGTTGAGGAATCACGCACTTCAAATGAGATTGAGATGAGTAAAATTTGGGAAACAGTACAAAATTGTGTAGAAAAGCACCACCCAATAGAGCTGGGGATGTAGCTTAGTGGCACCGCACCTTCCTCCTACAGAAAAAAAAAAAAAAGAAGAAGAAGAAGAAGAAGCACCACCACCTGATAAAGCTGCAGCAGTGCAAGTAATGAATCTGTCTAATGACAATACAATGTCACATTTTTGTTAAATCCTCAGAAGGCAAAAGCAATTGTCATTGGATAGGTTCCCCGTTAAAGTTGCACACAAAAGGAAAAAGATGCCATTGAGCCAATAGAAAGCAGTGATTCCACTAGTGACAGTCATCCCACAATGACTCCTCTATCATCTCCCTCACACCAGCCACAAAGGCTTTCAAAGGTAAGTACAGGTTAATTTGCTTATTTTTCTTTGTGTTTTGTATTTTCTTTAATTTTTGTATTATATTATTGTAATAATTTTGTATGAATGTTTTTGGCTTGTGGAACAAACCATCTGAGTTTTGACTATTTCTTATGGGGAAATTTGTTTTGATACACAAGTGCTTTGGATTACAAGCATGTTTCCTGAATAAATTATTTTTGCAAATCAAGGTTTTACTGTATTTGTTTGAACATCGATTTTGGGAGTATATACCTAGGAGTAGAATGGCAGTGTTTTTTTGTTTTTTGGTACCAGGGATTGAACTTAGGACCTTGTGCTTGTAAGGCAGGCGTGGTGCCACTGATCTAAACCCCTGGTCTGGCAGTGTTATTTTTCACTTTTTAAGGAACCAATAAACTTTTCCCTAGTAGCTACATCATTTTACAATTGATCTTAGCCAAAAGACAGAGAAGCAACTTTTTACATCATTTTAAATTACCTAGTGTATGAGGGTTTCAGTTTTTCCACATCCTCCCCAATACTTATTTTCCATTTTTTTAAAATTTATTTTATTTCTTTATTTATTTATTCAGGTTTTTTGAGACAGGGTCTCACTATGTAGTTGAGACTGACCTGGAACTCACTATGTAGCCCGGGCTGGTCTTGAACTCACAGCGATCCTCCTGCCTCAGCCTCCCGAGTGCTGGGATTACAGGTGTGCACTACCACGCCCGGCTCCATTTTTATTTTTAAAAATTATTTTTAGCTACATGTAGTGGCACAGGCCTGAAATTCCAGCACTGTGGGAGGCTGAGGCAGGAAGAGTGCAAGTTTGAGCTCAGCCTGGGCTATTTATTTATTTGGTACCAGGAATCAAACTCAGGACCTTGTGCTTGTCAGGCAGGCAAGGAGCCACTGAGCTAAATCCCTGGCCCAAGCAAGACCCTGTCTCAAAATTTAAAAAGTGCTAGGGGGAAAAGGGCAATGCAATATCCCTGGGCTCAGGCCCCAAAACCAAAAATTTTTTTTTCATGTTTAAAATTATAGTTATTCAGGGCCAGGGATTTAGCTCAATGGTTCTGCCACCTGTCTTGCAAGGGGCAAGGTCCTGAGTTCAATCCCTGGCACCGAAAAAAAAATTATAGTTATTCTGATGGTTGCATCAAGCTGGCTTTCCCCCTACTTTTCCTTTCCTTCTCTTCCCCTTCCCCTCAGTACAAATTTTTGGCCTTTCTATGCGATGTGTGTATATCACACTAACTCTGATTGTGTGTGCCTTTGACCATCAGGATGTCTTTAAATGGCATTGGCTTGAGGTGCCTTCCCTGTGGGTGGACAATGGCATCTACATGATTATGTGCCATAATTAAATACTGCCAGAGCAGCAGGTCCTGTGACGATGTAATGAGGTTTTAGATGGTGCAGCGTGGAATTGTGATTTTATGATGTACAGCTATGTGTACAGCTGCATTATCATATATACCTCTTTGGGACGAGTATGTGGCCATATTTTATGTGTGTCTGAGGCTATCCCTGTGTTTGATGGGATTGTGTGACTGCATCTTCAACAGTTACAGAACAGCTGGATGTGGTGGTGCATGCCTGTGATCCCAACATTTTGAAGGCTGAGCTGTGAGTTCAAGGCCAGTCTGAACTACAGTAAGACCATCTCAAAGCAACAGCAACGAGTTAAAAGAAAACATATCCAGGGGCCAGGGATGTTGCTCAGTGGCACCATGGCTTCCTGGCAAGTGCGAAGTCCCGAGTTTGATCCATGATACAAAAGGGGGGGACATATCCAGTCATCTTCTTGCATCCTTTTTTTTTTTTTTGTACCAGGGATCCATCTCTAGTCCTTACGCTTGTGAGGCAGGCAGAACATGGGGGTAAATGTCCAGCCTAATCTCCTTGTGTCTTTGTGTCTGGGCCTGGTTGCTGCTGGATTTGTGCCCCACATGGGCAAGGACTTGATGTTCTGTAAGAGATGGCTCCACTGTAAGATTCTCCATGCCAATCCCCTGTAGCCAAACTGTATCAATATGATTGTGTGACTGTTTTAGCACTTTCTCATTATGAATTCTGTGTGCTCAGGATTTCATAGCTATTATAATGTGTTACGCTAAGCAATACAGTATAACACTATTTACATAGCATTTATGGTGTATTAGGTCTTATAATTACTCTAGAGAGCTGGGTATGGTATAACCCCAAGTACTCAGAAGGCAAAGGCAGGAAGATGGAAAGTTTGAGTGTCTAGGCAACGTAGAAAGACCCTGTCTCACAATAAAAAATAAAAAGGGCTGGGGATGTAGCTCAGTGTGACGGCCCTAGGTTCAGTCACCAGCAGCACACATAATGCACACATGCATGCACACAATCTGGGGTTGATTTAAAGTCTACAGGGGGATGTAGGTTCTACACAAATACTGTGCCATTTTATACAAAGAACTTGCACAGTTTTTAGTATCTATGGGGGTCCTGATACAACTCCCTGCAAATACCAAGGTACAACTGTCTGTCTACACGTAGAGGCTATATGGTCTGTGTGGTTGAGGGACCAGCAACTTGTGCCACTATGTAACTGCATGGCTGTGTGGCTATGAGCTAGGTGTCTATGACATATGTCCATGTCTGCTACCTGGGCTCCCAGGCCACCGGAGTGGAGGCATCTCTTATAGAACCTCAAGTCTTTGCCCATATAGGGCACATAAATCTAGCATCAGCCAGGTCCAAGTATGGTCTCTCTCTCTCTCTCTCTTTTTTTTTTTTTTTTTTGAGACACAGTCTTACTATGTAGCTGAGACTAACCTGGAACTCACTATGTAGCTCAGGCTGGTCTTGAACTCACAGCGATCCTCTTGCCTCAGCCTCCCTAGTGATCAGATTACAGGCGTGCGCCACCACGCCCAGCTCCGGGTAAGGTCTTTTGCAAGTCAGGTGCTGCCTTGGTTTGCTTGATGGTCACTCTGTCCCCATCACCTGCAACAGCTGTAATGCCACCAACCTCATCTCCCACACAGTGCCTCCCTGAAGTTCTGTGGCAGCATCAGTGGGTTGATTGGCAGAGGCTCCCACCCACTGTGGGGCTCAGACCCTGGGGGTTCAGAACCCAGGCAATTTAAAGCCATAGGAATGTGCAGACCCAACCCCCAGCCCTCCCACTCACTGGGGGACAGAGCTTTGGCTGTTCTGGGGCCCCCACCTGATAGCAGCCTCCAGCATCTGGCATGGCTGATAATGCACTTTAGGGAGTTCGTGCCAAGTCCCGCCATCAGCACAGTTGTTGCTGTCTTTTGAGGAGGGGTAGAATTGCAGAGCCTCGCTTAGGGGATACTGGGTCCCAAAGCTCCTTCCCAGAGTATTCCTTCGGTATTTTACCCCTTCTCCAGGAAGGTAAACCAAGAGTAAGCCCCCAACCTGAGCTTCCTTGGGAACTTTGCCTCTGTTTACCTGGCTCCTGGACCCCCATCCCCAGGGCCCGCCATCCCGACACCTTGACTTGGCCTTGGATACAGGGTCTGTCTTTAAGGCCCAGATCTAAACAGGCTGAGGTAAGGTCTGTTCCCAGAAGTGGTGACCCCCGCCTTGGCTGGGCCTTATCAGGGGCTGCAGCCAATCAGCCGAGGGCAGAAGAGCCCTCCAAGGGGCCCGCTGAGCCTCAGAGCCCACAAGGCAGCCACGGGTGCAGAGGCTTGAGCCTGAGTAGACACCCGCTAGCCATGGCCACGGCTGAGACTGCCCTGCCCTCCATCAGCACGCTGACCACTCTGGGGCCCTGCCCTGACACCCAGGAGGACTTTCTTAAGGTGCGGTCGGGCGGGGGCCAGGTGGGCCAGGGAATCAGGGCTTTGGCCATTAAGCTTGGGAGTTGGGGATCCCCATCTGTTCAGGTCAGGGATCTGAGTGTGGTCTGGGGGGCGGGTAGTCTAGGGGTCTAAGCTTCTAGCTGTGGCCTGTTTCTGTAATGAAACTGAGCTCTCTGTTAACCCCTCTAGAGGCGTAGGCTCAGGTGGACGATGACCGAGTTATCAAAAGGAGACGGTAAAGTTGCCTGGGAGAAACCCAGGGTTCGGGAATACATTTTATACAGAGATAGGAAAAAATGGGAGGGTCTGAAGGGAAACTGAGGCAAGGCTGGGTTTCTCTCCCCCACCCAGCCATCCCTGCCCCCATCCTGAATGTGGGTCCAGATAATGGAAGTCTTATCTCCTGTCTCCAGCCAGACCTGATCGAACTGTCTCGAGCTGAGACCGGCTGAGGGGGCAGTGTGGGGAGAGACAGGTGAACTAGACCCCTCTGAGAAGCCTCTGGCCAGACTGCCCCGCGGGGTGTTCGACCGGCACGGTCCTGGGCAAGGCGCCCCAGTATCCTCAAACGCCTCAGGCTTGTGCTCCCTCCCACAGTGGTGGCGCCTGGACGAGGCGCAGGACCTGGGCCCAGGTCCCCCGGTCCCCGTGGGGCCGCCCCTTCACGTGAGTCCGGAGTCGGAGGACGCTCCCGGGGAGGACGAGGATGGCGAGAGAGACGCAGATGCCGCCTGGGACCTGGATTTCTTCCTCAGCAGCTTCCCGGGCCCGGAGCCGGGCGGTGCGCCCCGGACCTGCGCCCTGAACCCCGGCGAGACACCCGGGGCGCAGTACGCTCCGCCTCCCGAGACTCTGGG